CAACCCTTTAATACAGTTCCTCGTGTTGTTGGGGTCCCCAACCATACAGTTATCTTGGGTGCTACTTCATAACTTCAGTGAATATGTGTTTTCTGATGGTCTCTGGTGCCCTGTGAAAGTTTCATTCGACCAACTCAAGGGTCGTGACCCATAGGTTGAGAACCGCTGGCTTAGACGAAAGAGTGTTCTTGTAGTTTTCAGAAACTGACCGTAGAAGCGATTATGCGCCCCGCCAAGTAAAACATGAATACCTCCGTATACGTACTCAATCCATTCATGATCCTTGAAGGTATACCAAACAGTTAAAGTTAGTTAGTTGCGTATCCTTTACATGAGATTGCAGAATCAACCCCAGCATTTTTGGGCTATTGTTGATTTTCTAGGCACATCTACGTCTAGTAGTTTGCTGGTGCTTTCTAGACAGTCGGCTTCTTGATACCACTGTCGAACCCAACGCAGGGCGCCAGGCCCGCACCTGGGATCGAACCCGGCACCCCGGCATTACGAAGCGCGTTCGCAACGCCTAAGCCATAAACGCCGACTTACCAATCAGAACGTAGAGCAAATGAATTTTTCATAAAAAATAAAGGGATAATAATTCATCTGTCCCCATTAAAAATCATACAGTTATTTGGCATAGTAGTAGTAGTGGTGGTACTTTAACCCCCCCCCCCCCCCCCCAAGGACATCACACAAGCAATTAACACCCAGTGACACAAAGTGCCACCATGTGGATGAGGATCACCCGTGGAGAGGTCCCGGAAACCGCGTTCAGCTATTAGACCTCATTTAAGCCGGGCTATATTGCGGCCCCTAGCAAGAGCCAGGGTGGGTCTTCAAAACGAAAAATTGCACCCCACATGGGGATGACTAGTATACATTTGGCATATTATACATTGATGGGAGTTATAAAAAAAAAATTAAAATACCGCCTAATAATTTTTAACACAAAAAAAAAAAAACAATACAAAAGCAATGCGATAAATAAATTAAAATTTCACTTTATTTTACTTTTCTAAAAAAGATCCTAGTGCCTGCAATGATGTTACAAAGAAAGAAGACTGAGCAGATGTTATCGTTGGAACGAGAGTCCCTTTTCAAGAAAACTACAGGAATTTAAAATGCTGGTCTTTTTTGTTGTTGCTTTTTTCCTCCCGCTACTTGGACCTGGTTAGGCTAATTTGGTTCGACTTTTACTAAAACCCTGTCCAAAAAGCTTTGCTCCTGCAATCTCGTCAGATTGTCTGGAAAACGTGACACTGTCCTCTCATTCCAGACTATGACAACGCCATTAGGGCTTGTTTAGGCTTTGTTGGGGAAAAAATTCTCTATAAAATCAATGACATCTGTCCAGGTTTTGTCTACATTGTAGTAAGCGGATCGTATTCCAAATAATGGTCGTATACAAAACAAACGTTTTCGCGTCCAAACAGGGCGTATACTTTACTGAAACAGTAGAACCTCACTTAACGAGCACCTCTCTTAACGAGTAATTCGCATAACGAGCAAAACAAATTGTGAAAAAAATGACTTGCTCAACGAGCGACTTTTCGCATAACGAGTGGCGAGGAGAGGGGAAGTCCCGAATTGTGCGCATGTTACACCAGTCTGTGTATAGCACTCGTTCCAGTAGCTTTCTAGTATCTCTTGTGATCACAAATTTTCTCAAACTTGTGTTATATTGTGATATATGTACATGAATCCTCCAGGCCTACACGATGACCTCTCTGAAGAATTAAGTTCATCAAGATCCAGTTTCTGCCTCCCAATACCACTCTGTAACTCCAGCCCATGACCAGCAAATTATTTCTAACTTTGAGAAGCTCTACACTAAAGCACACTTCGAGCATTCTTCTAAAGCACTCTTCAGAGTTTTGGAAAAACCACTTCCACATTGTTGCCTGCCTCAAGATGATCGACAAGGCGGGGGGAGGGGTTACCAAGAGAACCCTAACTTCTGCTTGGAAGAAGCTTTGGTCAGAGAGCGTTGTTGATTTGTGACTTTGAGGGGTTTTAGACAGTACCTGTGGAACTTGTAGTCAACGAGATTGTGTCTTTGGTCCCTATCATGAGATTGTAGGTGGATAACAGTGATATCGAAGAGCACAGCCAAGAGCTGACCACCCAAGAGCTTATGGAGATGCATTGTGTTTCACAGCAAGAAGTTTTGGGGTAAAGTTTGTCAGAGGAGGAGGTAACAGAAAAGCAACAAACTTCTGGCGAAATAAGAGAAATGCTGAAAGCATGGGAAACTGTTGCATCTAACATTGAGAAGCATCACCCTAATAAGAAAGTGGTTATGCGCGTTGCAAATGTATTTAATGATAATGCTGTGTAGAATTTTCGCCACATTTTGAAGCGTCGGCAAAAACAAATGTCTCTGGGCATCATTCTAGTAAAAAAAAAAAAAAATAATTAGCCATGTATCATAATTATTTCGACCTTTCTTTTTTCTGCAAATCGAATTCGCATTCCAGGTGGGTTCGTTCCGCGTTTGAAGAAAAGATGAAGATGATTCACTCTCCTTAACAATTTGGATTGTATATAATTTTCTTTGAATAAACGTTATACATATTTTTTTCGACATGAAATGCATTATCGTATTTTACATTAATTTATATGAGAAAAATTGTTTCGCATAACGAGTGTTTTGCTTAACGAGTATGATTCTGGAACGAATTATGCTCGTTAATCAGGGTTCCACTGTATATATCAAATTGAACGTACACCGAGATACCACTGTATTTCCAAAGGCAGGAGGGGTATGTAAATCCTCTACGCAAGCCTTCAGCTGTGGAAACGGTACATATGAAACAGAAACTAGTGCAATGGTCAAGTCATTGTTCCCTCTCAGAATTGCCATATAAATGATTAACCTTTCTTGGAGGAGAATGAAACAGGAGCAAATTTCACTAGGAGCTAATTCCAACCCCCCCCCCCCCCCCCCCCGCCCCAACACCTCCGAAAAAATCCTGGTAAACTTTACGACAGTTAAATTAGTTAACCACTTGTATTAAAAAGTAACCTGCGGTCCCTTATTGGGGTGGGTATATTAATTCGATCATTCCGATATGTGGGCCGATCATTAAGTCGTCCCCTTGTAGGGTGAAATTTTTCGTTTTTCGAAGCCCCACCCTGGCTTTTCCCGGGGGCCCTGAATATTGCCGGGCCATAATATTTGGCCATAACGGCTAAATTGGGTTTCCAGGACCTCTCCACGGGTGATTCTCATTAGTATGTTGACACTTTGGGTCACCGGGTGTTTTTCGCTTATGTGATGTCCTGGTGGAGTACAACAAGAAAGAGAGAGAGAGAGAGAGAGAGAGAGAGAGAGAGAGAGATGAGAGAGAGAGAGAGAGAGAGAGAGAGAGAGAGAGAGAAAGAGAGAGAGAGAGAGATGTAGGCCTATAGCAATCATCTGTGGCTGTTAGACTATTGCCTGCTTGTTGTTGAACTTTAACCAGGTTACAATTTAGTCGCGTGCCCGAACTTGAATGTCCTACACCAAAGGTTCTCAACCCATGGCTCCCGACCCTATAGAGGGTCAAACAACCCTTTCACATGGGTCACCTGGGACTATCGGAAAACACATATTTACTGAAGTTATGAAGTAGCAACGAAAATAATTGTATGGTTGGAGGTCGCCACGACATAAGAAACTGCATCAAAGAGTCGCGACGTCAGGAAGGTTGAGAACCATTGTCTTACACGAACGAGGTTACTCTTTACATCTCAGAATGAGTCACCCGGATTTTTTTCTTTCGTAGCCCTTCTCCGTATATGGTGGCCTCATCCTTTTCCTAGTATAAATTTCATAAAACACTCACAGTTTCCTGGTCGTTGCTTCCCCTTGCCTCATAATAAACGGTTTTTAGCTATTGACGTCACAGAAAGTGAGTTAAGTTGCAACTGTCATAGCGAATAAGTGCTCATCCCAGAGTGACCTCTGTCACATCCGTGACTTTAGTCGCAATATAAAGGTATCAACTAGACCTGGGAAAAGTCAGGCGCATCAGCTGCAATCACAACATTGTCACACTTTTAACGATTATCAGAAAGCTTTTGACATTCTCAAAGACATCTGTAAAGAAACTAGTAGATTTCGTTAACAATTCAGATATATTTAGAAAAAAACGAAACTTTTATAATATTGGAAATAAAAATAGTATAACAAGTTTAATTGACAACCGTCAATATCGGTTAAGATATTTCCATATTTAAATCAAGTCTGTTTTGTGATTGGCACCATGAGGCAGTCTCCGGGACATCGTTTATCAGCCTACCTGTTACTGGTGGTAAGCGACACGTGTTTGTTTATAAATTTGCATTTTATCTTCATCATTTTGCACCTAAAGATGTCAGTGTCAAGTGTAAGCAGCGTGTCAGTTCCTGCTGTTGTGCTCTGCACAGGTGATTCCCCGGGACTTTCTACAGTAAAAGGGACATTCCATAGTTACTTTGCTCCTGTTCTTGTGTGGTGGCCAGCAAGTGAATAGATCCACTATCTCCTAACAAGCATCTCGAACTCAAGATCTTCAAGATGACGGGTGAGAGACTATCCACTATGCTGTCGTGGCTCCCGATTTAGAAGGCCGTAGCCGTCAGCATACGTTATGTGACTACCTTTGAATAGTGACTACGCCAGGATTCCAAACTGGCCTCTACGTCTAAATAAGATCTAAACATGTTTACAAAAAAACGGGAAAAGAAAAGATATACATAAATTGGTGAGAAAAACATATATATACACACACATACACACACACATATATAATTTTTACAAAATCCTTGGGGGGGGGGGGGGGGCAAACAGAAGTCGTTGTGACGATTAATTAACCTTGGTCAGTAGAACAAGAAACAGTACACAACACGCAAATGAATTGACTGAATTTACTACATTTTGGCATGCAAATATTATGCAGACGGAAAGCAATAATAATAAACAACACAAGTATTTTAAAAAATCTGTAATACTAGACCTTTGTTTCACAACAGACAAGTCTTACCTTGGGCTCAGTCCGCGGTCGGACTATAGATGAGATCATCGCTGGGTCATCCAACGCTGTCACAGACTTTGACTTCATTGCAACGTCAGTGGCGAACGTCGTTCGTGTGGAGCTGGATATGATGATGTCGTTGAAACAGTATCAAGAGCTTTACGTGAGTATTTGACTCAGTCTACATGCTGTTAATTAGTGTTAGGTGAGATACGATGTAGTAGAATCAAGAGCTTTGTGCGAGTCCTAGAGTCAGTCTACAAGCTGTTAATTAATGATAGGTGAGATACGATGTAGTAGAATCAAGAACTTTACGTGAGACCTAGAGTCAGTCTACAAACTGCTAAATAGTGTTACATGAGATAGGGTGTAGTAGTAATCAAGAGCTTTATATGAGTTATAGATTCAGTCTACAAGCTGTTAGTTTGTGATAGATGAGATATGATGTAGTAGTATCAAGAGCTTTAAGTGAGTACTTGTGTCAGTCTATAAGTTGCTAATTGGTGATAAATGAGATAGGATGTAGTAGAAGTATCAAGAGCTTTATATGAGTTATAGATTCAGTCTACAAGCGGTTAGTTTGTGATACATGAGATAGGATGTAGTAGTATCAAGAGCTTTACGTGAGTACTTGTGTCAGTCTATAAGTTGCTAATTGGTGATACATGAGATAGGATGTAGTAGTAGTATCAAGAGCTTTATATGAGTTATAGATTCAGTCTACAAGCTGTTAGTTTGTGATAGATGAGATAGGATGTATAGTAGTAGTATCAAGAGCTTTACGTGAGTACTTGTGTCAGTCTATAAGTTGCTAATTTGGTGATACATGAGATAGGATGTAGTAGAAGTATCAAGAGCTTTATGTTAGTACTTGAGTTAGTTTTCAAGGAGCTAGTTAGAAACGCGTGAAATAAGCACTACCGAAAGCTTTATGTGAACACTTGAATCATTGTACACAAAAATTATTAACCTACGATATAAGTAACATCAAGAGCTTTATGTCAGTACCTGAGTCAGTAGGAAAGTTGCTAGTTAGTTACATATGAGATTGGGTATAGCACTTTCAAGAGCTTTAACGACAAAATATCTTTCTAATAGAATGTAAAAATTTAGAATATGTATTTTCCTGTTGTTGTTGTTGTTGTTGTTATTGTTGTTGTTGTTGTCGTTGTTGTTGTTTTTGTTATAGTTGTTTTCGTCGTTGGTGTTGTTGTTGTTGTTGCTATCGTGTTGTTGTCGTAGTTGTTGTTATAGTTGTTGTCGTTGTTGTTGTTCTTGTTGTTGCTCTTCTTCTTCTTCTTCTTCTTCTTCTTCTTCTTCTTCTTCTTCTTCTTCTTCTTCTTCTTCTTCTTCTTCTTCTTCTTCTTCTTCTTCTTTTTCTTCTTCGTCATCCTTCTCTTCTTCTTCTTTATCTGTTCTTACTTCTTGTCCTCCTCCGTCTCTTCATCCTTCTCCCCCTCCTCTTCCTTCTTCTTCTTCGTATTTTGTCTAGAGAATTGTGTGACACCAGTCATTATTTATGTCCTCATGTCTGTTTACGTTTCAAGGTCTGATCAAACTATGAAAATGGATGTCTTTGTGTGTGTGAGTGTGTGTGTGTGTGTGTGTGTGTGTGTGTGTGTGTGTGTGTGTGTGTGTGTGGTCACATTAATAAATCTCATTTGTTCTGTTATTACTTTATAGAGTTTGTTTATTTAATAATTCAAATCTAGCTGGTTTTTGTCACTAACAGACAACATCAAAGTATATCGACAGTATCGAGTCACTTTTGGTCAATTCCATAAAGCAAACCAGCTTATTGGAGAAAAGGCATCAATACCGAGAAACAAAGGCATATCAATAGGTACCAAAAAGCACTCTATGACAATATCTATTTACCAGCTCTAAGCTATTAATGTCGTTGAACCATGAAAGAAAAATAGAACGGAGACATTACAGAAAAGAGTTGATTTTTGAGAAAAGCACTCGTATATCAAGAAGAGAGAGTCGGTCAGAAATGATGAAGTCAGAAAAAGTTGGAGTAATATCAGTTGCAGAACAAGTGAAATTATTTCGCAATATAACTTGCACGCCAACAGTCAGTATACCAAAACTAGTGATAGCCAAACGGGCACTCTACGATCTGTTTTATGAGTTCTAAAACAGGATTAAGAGGAGGTGATTATGGTAATCTATTGCGTATGTTTCTTCTTCTTCACTTCTTCGTTTACTGCCCTGGTTGTGAGGTAAGATATAAAGTTCTAATTCTTACTATTCTGACCACCTTGATCAAATGTGCTGCTGCAGTTTCTATGATGTTGTTTGTCTATCCTGTTACTGGTTTATCTTGTGTTCTGTGTCCTTCTCCTATGTTGGTGTATGCCTTGAATAGTATCACGTCACAAAGCATTTTATCTAAAGGGACAAACCATTTTATTTGTTGTTACCATGTTTCAAATACATGTAGTGGTATTGTCCATATGTACATACCGAGGATGCTTCTCCGAAGATCAAGTATATTCTTTGAAGTTGGGATATTTAGGTCTTCCAACGTTGCCATCATCTTTATCGTAATCAAAATTAACTCCTACATTTCTTTATGATCCATTATATGGTTATCTGTCTTACGCCGTTCTCGGTGATTTTCCTCGAATGCTTACATTAAAGTTTATTTAATGGGAAACAAATATTATTCTTTTGCTTGTAGGGTTCAGCGACCGTGGAAAACAACGATGACCTTTCATCGCTGAGTCGAAAGAAAAGAAAAGCAATCAAACAACAAACGTACCGATGGACTAATAAAGAAATTCCGTACAGAATGGATGACGCGACTTTTTCAGCTCAAGACAAAGCCGAAGTAACCAAAGCTATTGTTGAATGGCAGAACTACACTTGTATCAGTTTTCGTCGAGCCAGTAGCGCCGATGCTAATTTTGTAAATTTCCAAGACGGATCTGGATGTTCATCGTATGTAGGGATGAACGGTGGGAAGCATCCTATATCCCTGGCTGGTGGTTGCAGAGTAAAGGGCGTTATTGTTCATGAAATTGGACATGCAGTTGGCGTTTTTTCACGAGCAAAACCGCCCAGATCGAGACGACTACATCATAATTCAAACCGAGAATATTATGCACCCTACTCTGATTCATAACTTCAAGAAATACCCCTGGTCTGCCGTGTCCACTTATGAAGTCCCCTACGATTACAGAAGCATCATGCACTATGGAGGTACCGCATTCTCTGGCAATGGGCAGTACACGATCAAGACCAAAGACCCCGCTGTCCAAAATGTCATAGGCAACCGTTCGGGGCTTAGCTTCAACGATATAAAACTGGCAAATCTAATGTACAGCTGCCAGGAAAAGTGTGACCCTGGCATCGTCTGCCCAGGTCAAGGATTTGTGAGGAAAGACTGTCAGTGCTGGTGCCCAGGAAATCCCATTCAGAAGTGCAAAGACTCTGATGGGAGATCAACCACGCAGAGTCCAGCAGTGAAGACAACACAAAAACCGACAGCAATGCCAACAGCGATGGCGTGCCAAGACATGAACACACACTGTGCCGCCTGGGCTGGAGATGGGTACTGCATGACAAACAACTACGTGAAAACTTACTGCAAGGTCTCTTGTTCTATGTGTACTCTGAACATGTGCAAAGACGTCCGGGAGCACTGTTCGTACTGGGCTGAGCAAGGCTACTGTACCAATGACACGTACAAAAATTTCATGGCGGAGAAATGCTCCCTCAGTTGTGGGATCTGTAAGTTCAGCAGTGCTAGCGTCAACAGCGTGGCTGTTGTTTCTTCCAGCGTGTTGACGATAGCAATAGCAGTTTTACTCTCTCAACTCAAATCTTTGTAAGTGCCAAATGCAAACTTAGTAATCTATTATCATCCTTTTGGGCCGCTAATAAGTCACAAATGGCTCACAGTCTAGACCCCCTTTCATATCTATCCTGTAGAATCTTGTCGATATCATAGATGGAATCCAGTCCAGCGCTTTTGGCGCCTCTTAAAAGAGTTGTCCCAGTGTTTTTCTTGGACGTCCTCATTTCGCGTCAGTCCATTTGTGTCATGTTTCAGTGCCTATTTTATGATTCTGTGTCCGTTTTTCTTCATGATGTGCCCAATGTATAGCCATCTTCCTTGTTTTATAACTGGTTATATGAGCGTTTTGTCAAAAATTCAGTGATTGCTTTTAGCTAAACGGTTTATTTCAAGTGTCTCCAACTGTCTTTGGTTGTACAATTGTTCACACGCATGTCCTTTTCAGGCCTGTGCAGAGAGATTGGGACAAATCAAATTTCGAATACTCTTCATAGAAACTCGCGATAATCCGAAGCAGAAACTTCCTTGGATCGTACAAGGGTGACTAGTTTATTTCATTTCCACCCGTCCTTACCGGCACAGCGCTGCAGAGACTTGCAATTTTAAATGACATTCTGACAAAATGAGAGATGGAGGAGAGAGAAAGAAACAGCGAGAGCGAGTGAGATAGATAGAGAGAGGAGGAGAGCAAGGGAGAGAGAGAGAGAATAACTTTGAGTCGTTTTCGATAGATATGTATGAACAGTGATTTATTTTTTAAATTATTTGTTTTATTTGTGTTTATGGAGAAGTGTACAACAATGTTTTGCATTTATATATATTATATATATATATGAGAGAGAGAGAGAGAGAGAGAGAGAGAGAGAGAGAGAGAGACAGACAGACAGACAGACAGACAGACAGACAGACAGACAGACAGACAGACAGACAGACAGACAGACAGACAGACAGACAGACAGACAGACAGACAGACAGACAGACAGACAGACAGACAGACAGACAGACAGACAGACAGACAGACAGACAGACAGACAGACAGACAGACAGACAGACAGACAGACAGACAGACAGACAGACAGACAGACAGACAGACAGACAGACAGACAGACAGACAGACAGACAGACAGACAGACAGACAGACAGACAGACAGACAGAGGAGACAGACAGACGTACATACAGACAGACAGTCTGCCCAGGGGAAGGATTTGTGGGGAAAGACTGTCAGTGCTGGTGCCCAGGAAATTCCATTCAGAAATGCAAAGACTCCGATGAGAGATCAACCACGCAGAGTCCAGCAGTGGAGACAACACAAAACCCGACAGCAATGCCAACAGCGATGGTGTGCCAAGACATAAACAAAAACTGTGTGGCAGACGGGCAGACAGACAGGCAGAGGCAGATACACAGTGTTAGACAAACAAAAAACAAAACCAGTACGACAACTAAGAATAGAGAAAGTAATCCTAAGACTCAGAGCCTTTGAAAGATTTCATTTTGACGCTGGCAGATATTCATGTGTTTGGTAGTTGGCAGAAAGGGAAAGGGGCAGCAGAGCGAGTGAATAAATGCATGCACAAATATAAAAGACAGTGTGCGATCTGAATGTATGACTTCATGTTTTGTTAATTAAACGATAGACATATGCCTTATGGTTGCAACTATTAAATATTAATAAAGAATATTCAAACGTGTCGTGTCACTTTCATTTCCCACTAAATAATAAAACATTCCTGTCTCAAATATTGACATCAACGCACAACATTATGTTTTCCTGGTCACAAATCATATACTGTCCATTGTGATCTCAAATGTCAACAAGTGAGCTGCATGTCACTGTACGAATTTGGCAAACTCGCCCCATTTGTTGGCTGTTCGTGATTTTACAAAGCAATGTTACGTTAAGTGCCACTGCCTCTTGAGCCGAGTTGAGTCTAGAATTGACATCACAGCACTAAGGGCATTCCCATGCATGCTCCGTCCTCATCATCAGCAGCCAGCGCAGAGTTCCAATACTGATGGTACCGGTCACAGTCTGGCTAGATGTCCGTCTTGCCTTTCCTCTGAGTCTAGTGAGCCGGCCAGTCTGGTTACACCCAGGTGCCTCATTCTTTTTAGGCCATAATAATCTTTTATCTCCCCTGATTCCGGTGCTTGTTCCCAAAGGTCCTTGACCACATCTGCCTTGTCATGTATCAACTCACCACCCAGTGGTGCAGACCCAGCCAGTCTGTCTGCCTGTTCGTCACCCACCACGCCGGCATGGCCTGGAGAAAAGATCTAAAGTATGTTCACTACCTGGGACCTTTCCAGTCACTGCCTCTTGAAAGGTACGACATTATCCAATTCTGCGCAACAGGTCTGTCAATCCATGCGGCTAGCGTGGAACCTCGGTACTGACACAAATATGCAAGAGACAAGCACATTTGCAGGACTTCGACAGCCTCTTCTGGCAGTGGTGAAACGTCGCAAGCTAGCTTTTTTTGAGCTCGTGGTGAGACATCATTCAATTGGGAAGACTTTACTTCGAGGAACACTGGGGGGAAAAAAAAGGGGGGGGGGGTGACGAAAGAAGGGGACAAAGAAGAATCTAGAATGAAAATATCAAGAAATAGGCAGGACTAAATCACTATTCATTTGTTCAATACTTTACATTTTTTTTTTTTTTTTTACCAGCGGAAGACAGAGAAAGATGACCATTTTTGTGAGCTAGTACTTCCTCAAAACACCTCCACAACCTTAACAGGTCTAGGGGTTATGAATATTATGTTATCGAGAAACTACGTTCACAATCCTAAACCACAAACGTCTTGTGATGTGTAAGGTCTTCACAGTTAATGTCGTGAGTGTCGACTTCGTTGCCCCAGATTTATTCATAAATGGCTAGGTCTTTCCCAATTGCGACAGCGTCGCACAAAACATGAAATCAGTAGATCCTTCGACGATCCACAGGGGTTTCAATAAAAATGTCACTAATGAAATTAACGACCTCGCCGCATAAAGAACCCACGACCTTCAGATAGTGAGGCAAACGGCTTGCCACCGCGGAGTTCAGTATACTAGGTTATGACGTATACAGCGAGGTGCTTAGTAGGGGCGCCGCAACTTGTGGGCTTTGATACCTTTCAATAAACGGAGGATGGTTAAGTTGTGTATCATTTACAGGACGTTGCAGAACCAACCCCATAGTTTTTCTAGGCAAATTTACGTCCAGTAGTTTGCCATTGCTTTCTGGGCGGTCGGCTTTCTTGATACCACTGTCGAAACCAACGCAAGGCGCATGGCCCGCAGCTGGGATCGAAAACGGAGGATAGTGAGGCGATAAACCTTCACAGTACATACATACACACACACACAAATGATTGGACTAAAGTAACTACAATTATGATATTCAAATATTCTGTTAACAAATGACACGAAATAATAATAAATATTATGTAAAGAAATGGAACAAAATAATAATAAACTACAGAATTGTATACAGTATGTGATACTTATCTGGCCCGCTCTGAATTTTATAAGGAAGTCGTAGCGTAGTGGTTAGATGCCCGCCTGCAGCCTGAAGGTAACTGATTCAAATCTGTATTGAGGTGGATTTTTATAGCTTTATCCAGAACTTAAATTGGTTTCTAGGTCAACCCAGCCAAAAATGGTGGCCCTGGGAAGTAAAAAGTGGCTTGCATTATGCTGAACCCATCCTCCCATGGGTGCCGACAGGTCTATAAAAACATGAGTTTTGCCACCACCTTCATCTGTGACACGGAAGAACAACAGCCCGCCTCGTCCGTTCTCGAAACGCCCCATTCGTTTGCCCAATTCTCGATAGCTTTTAACTAGACTTTGATCGCTCGCATATACGGCTGATCGGCCTAGACTGGCTATTTGATCAGCGCTCGAAATCGCATTATTCGAAATTCCGCTTTACGATAGACTTACCCGTGTAAACTAGTGTAAAGTGTTGGGAGCTCACTGGTAGTTCTTTTCAGAGCTGCTAACTATGCTTGCTTTCCTTCAGAGACCAGGCTACTGTTGCTTAAAAGAGAGAGACGTCGCTATTAATGACTGCGCCATTGTCGACTACCAGAGTCTGCAACAGGTCAACATGGAAGAGGTAGTCGATCACACACAAAGCAAGCCGTCCAACAGACGCCAACCACCAGCCTCGCCACTAGGTCTGCATTAGCCACTAGAGGGAAGAATGCAGCCGCAACTACAGCCAAGAAAGATGACGCTACTGCCTGTTATGAGGTCATGATTGGCGTGCCAGCCTCCCCCGAACCAGCCGTGCCGACACCAGAACCCGCACCAAGAAAAGCCTCACCAGACACATCCATCTCACCTGAGAGACAGAAGACAGGCAGCTATGAGTTCCCGATCACCATATTCCTCCGGCAGGCCAGCGTGAGTCATGCGGCATTTCTCGTCTTTACCACACTACTGCTTGTGAATATACTTGCAAGCTTACTCGGCAAGCGGACGGTGGCACGAATTAAGACAACCAGAGACAGAGTTATTGCCTAATTGAACAGGACCAACGTACGTCGAAACTGGAGGGATGGCATGGCACTCAGGGGCAAGGTGGCACAGACGGATGTCATGGCACTCAGGGGCAAGGTGGCACAGAGGGATGTCATGGCACTCAGGGGCAAGGTGACACAGAAAGGTGTCATGGCACACAAGAGGCAAGGTGGCATAGAGGGATGTCATGGCACACAGAGCATTGTAGCATAGAGGGATGTCATGGCACACAGGAGCAAGGTGGCACAGAGGGATGTCATGGCACTCAGGAGCAAAGTGACACAGAGGGATGTCATGGCACACAGGAGCAAGGTGGCCCAGAGGGATGTCATGGCACTCAGGAGCAAAGTGACAAAGAGGGATGTCATGGCACACAGGGGCAAGGTGGCACAGAGGGATGTCATTGCACACAGAAGCAAAGTGGCATGGAGGGATGTCATGGCACACAGGGGCAAGGTGGCATGGAGGTATGTCATGGCACACAGGAGCAAGGTGGCATGGAGATATGTCATGGCACA